AGCCTAGCTGATTAAAAATCGTTCAAAAATAACTAAAATCAATTGCAATTCTGTTTTATGTTTTATTTGTGTAACTATTTTCTAACATTGGTTAATTATGCATTAAAATTATGAAAAATATTACACAGACGATATTATAGCTGACAATTCTATCTGTCTTATGTGAATTCAAGTCTAACTGTATCACACTGAATATCTTTATGAGATCTATTCCTGACGGTATACCTTGCGACATGTTGAAGATCTCTTGTAAATTTTTTTATCAATAATCTACATAATTTGTCATTTACCTTCTCCAAATTTTAAAATTTTCTCGATGTAGAAACTGTAACAGCAGATCTGGTGTAGTTTTTAAACCTTAACTATTAGATTACGGTGTTTCTATTTTGTGAAATTATTTGTAATATATTTTTGAAAGAATATGGGAAGTCAAGTATAAATACGTCCAACATTCATGATGGATGGGCTTATCCTATTCAATGGGAGAAGCAATGGCACTTTGCGTGCCTGCCGCAGAAATAACAACTCGTCAATATCTCTCCACCCATACCAGACGTGTCGCTCTGTACGTTTGTAGAATTCTCCCAAATTAATTGCAGAAATAAAATTTCGATTTTCTTGTACCTTTAAATTGAATACCGGATATCTGACATGAATGAGAAAATAATTTGATAAAACCGATAATTTCATTTTCTCCAATTTAAACTGAAACCTGAAAATGATTAATGTTGAAAGTTATCGAAAACACATCACTTTTTGTTGCTAATAGTGAAAACTCTGAATCAGCTTTGAGATATTCCGATTTTTAAAATAACTATATTTTCCAAAGATTGTTTGGATCAGAAGTATAAAACAACCATTTCGCTTACACTACTACTAAGTTACCAACACTTTAATCACAACGCATCATATTACTTCTTAAGATCATGATTAATATTTAACCTCGTTGGATATCTTTTGGTGCTACTAATTACAAAAAAAAAAGAAATGTTGGTGCTGCTGATAAAAATATTGGTATATTTGTAATGTTGTTGCAAAGAGTAGGACCATTCAGGATAATTGGACATGGTGATCGGGAAATACTGATACACACGTATATACACAAGATAACCATTCTCAATTCCAATTTATTTCATCATATAGATGTTGTAGGAAAAGCATATTTCCAAAAGAATATTCGTTTTTTTCTTTTATTTTCCATATTTTATTGATGCGTGTGTTTCCATGACATCATTGGATAATGTTGATGTAACCTCGAATGTGTTCTTCCACTTTATATGTTTATCTCCTTTCTTTTGTTATCCACCTTTAGTATTATTTTATGTATAGTTGAAAGTTAGAGTACATTATTAATCATCAGTACTATTATGTAAGCATTGGTTTATTATTACTGGTGTTATACAAATATAATATATGGCTATAAACATATGATGATGATTGGTTAAGATGTAGCTAATGATGTTATTTTTAATTTCTATCTACAACCATTAAAATTATCAATTATGTATTATCTAATTTATAAAACTTCAAAAAATAAAATATAATGGTTATAAGTTATAACACTCTTATTTTTTTAAACACTATTTTGTATACCATAGAGAAAAATATTGCTGTATGGATATTTTTTTATTTTTATTATTTTTTCACTTAATTCTTATAATTACATTTGCTACACTTACGTCAAAAATTTCTATAGAGAAAAATTTACAGTAAATTTTTTACAGATATATCTCCACCTATAATTCCTTATAACTAAATTAGAAGGTTTAATATCTATAGAGAAAAATTTACAGTAATTTTATACAGATATATTTGTATAACATCAATAACTATAATGGTCATGACGCTATTGATGAGTACATTATTAATCATCAGTACAATTATGTAAACATTGGCTTTTTTTTTATGTAAACATTGGTTATTCTTATTGATGTTATACAAATATAATTAAATGGCTATAAGCATATAACTAAGTTAGAAGGTTTAATTATGTTTTTTCAGTAAAAAATAGGCTTAATTATGTTCCTATATAAAATTTCGGCTACACAATTCAGAATAACCTGGATGGGGTTTCGCATTACGGCCATGCAAGTCCTATGGCCATTTATTTCCATGCATGTGTGGCCCACGTGATATTGGTCACTCCCAACAGGTCTCTTTATACCTTGGTCAAAATTGTTCACAGCAGTTTGGAACAATGTCCACTAGTTGGCGCTAGAAATGTAATCGAAACAAAGTGATTCAAATAAGTTTTAAAAGATATCCCTATATATCATCTTGCACAACAATTGGGTCTTTCTTCTGCCATATGGGTTTATTATATAGTGGCATTTTAGTTGTAAACGCATTGATCATATTTATATCACTTAAGTAAACACCTTATATTTCCCAATCAGTTTAAATATTCATAATATTCTTCTATCGTATATCTATCTTATTAAAGTAGAAGTACTTTAACCATTTGTTTGGAAACATAGATAGCAGTATTTAAAATAAGTAAGTTTGGAAACATAGATATCAATATTTAATAAGATCTGGTATTTATTGTTACAAAGATTTGCTATTTATTTAAAATCGTAAATATAATTAATTTTAGTCACTAACAATATTAAAGAATATTCGTTTTTAACAATAATTCGGGTCGGATTACGGGTCGGATTTCCGGGTATTTTTATTTCGGTTTGAATTTCGGGTCGAATTTTTTGGTTCGAAAAATTGAACCGGACACAAATAAATTTATATAGATAAACAAACAGTTTCTATGTTTCTAGAACTAAAAAAACTAAGAACGTAAAGAACCTAATAAAAGCTGAACCGAAAATCACAATCCAGTCCTATTATATTCAATATGATAGTTCACATACAACGTGGATCACAATATCTTAAACACAGTAATAATCGATGAGTTCTGAATTTATTACATTTTCTCAAATTAAGTTAAACCCGCGCCGGTGCGCGGGTCAAGATCTAGTTGGATATTATACATGCAAAACAAGATTTCAACTGGACCGAACAAAGCTTAATGACTTCTGTTACAAATCAAGTATAATTTTAATGAAACCAAACCAGTCAAACCGAACTTTAAGATGAACCCAAAACCTAAAATATAATGATTGGTTCGACCGTAGCCGTAAAGGCATGGCCCAGTATATATCACTACCTAAAGCAAAACAAAATTTGGCGCCCCTGTGGGTTCGAACTGGGCACCTTTAACTCATATAAGCGATAGACAACCAATAGGCTATAAAAGATTTTTGGTAAATATGATGCCCACAAATATTTAACCTATTTTGGCGCCTAAAGCGGGTGCTTTCCCAGCTTTAGATCAGGGCCGGCCCTGGCTGTAGTTACAAAATTGTTATTGTAGATTTTTCTTACAAAGATTTTATTGTAGTTAAATTTGTTGTAAGTTATAGGTTTTAGTTAATTTAAAATAAAATATGTAAAAATATGTGATATATATAAACAATTATTTTTATCAATAAAAACAATTTATACTAATATATTTAAATAAATTATCAAGATTTATTTAAAATGTGATAAGTAAATAATATTTATGTTTTTTTAATATTTCAATAATATAAAAGCCCAAAAATAAATTAGAACATTTATAGGTGTTTTTCTTATGATAGTATAATTTATTTGATATTATAGATATTTTTTTTTTCATTTGACATATTCTACAACCTAAAAAGAAGGATGTAGAACTTATACCTAAAATACATTTAAAAAATTGCTTTAGTTTTTTTTGTTGTACCTTATAAGTATAGTTAAAGCATGATTAGTAAAAAGTAGTAAAAAAATAATGTAGATTTTAATTTTCAAAAATAAACTACAACATTATTAGATAAGGCTAGTATTAAAAATAAATAAAGCTAAAATATGGAGATAAATTCTAACTAATCATCTCCATATTCTTTTAAAAGCCTATAAACCATAGCCCCTATATGGAGATAAATTCTAACTAATCATCTCCATATTCTTTCAAAAGCCTATAAACCATATCGCCTATAAGATTCAAATCGAAAATTATCTTCTAAACCCAAAAATAAGACATTTGTTAAGTTTTTAAGGGTATTTCCAACTTAACTCTATTTTTTACTTCAAAACTGAGTAAAAGTGATTATGGGTAAAAATGTTCTAACCCTACTTAATTTCTTATTCCATAATGAGATATACACCATAAATGGAGTAATCTATTTTTTCTTTATTCGCTACTCCATTATGGAATTAGAAATAGAGTGGAATTAGAGCATTTTTTACTCCATAATTATTTTTACTCCATTTTAAATGAAAAATAGAGTTTTACATTGAAGGTGCTCTAAGTAGTGTTTTTATTGATTTTGAATCCTACATTGTCTTTAAATACGTTTCTCTTAATTGTTCATGAATTTATATAAAAATCGTTTGATTAATCTGTTTATGTAAGAAGTTTTGACTTTTGATAGATAAAAGTATACATTTTTTATAAATATTTTCTTACAAAATCTGTCCTATAACAAAATAATTTATTTTTTCACACATGTTGATTTTCTCTGTATCATCATGATATTGATAACTGATCCATAACCCTAATCTAAATGCATTATTTATTCTGTCAAAATAACATAATTTCATGTGAATTAATCAAGTTAACCTAAATATTTATTTTCCACTGAAATATAATATGGCTGAGAATGTTGGTGCTGTACTGTTCTTAGGATATAGCACTCAATACAAAAAGTTCAAAAACCTTTATCATAAATCCACTTATCTTAATGTTTGGTTCAATCTTACTTACTATCTCTTATATATAAACATTTATAAAATTAAAATCATAGCTTTCAGAAAAAAAAAAACATTTATAAAATCATGTTACCATCATACCCTTCGCTACTTCAAAAAGAAAAAGAAGACCGTAGCTTACGTAACTAAAGTTCCACGCAAATTACCATCATACCCTTCGCTATAGCCTATCGTTCTCTGCATTTCTGGTTTCATTTCACAAATTGCTATAAATACGCTCCTTAACGTTTCTCCTCACTTGGCTTGCAGAGACAAACAAACCTACTAGAACATTCCTTTACTCTTCTTCTTCTTCAAACCTCTCTCTCTATATATATATAGTAATGGTGACAAACTCCACAATCAAATTTCTATGTAGCTACGGCGGGAAAATCCTCCCTCGTTACCCCGACGGTAAACTCCGTTATAACGGAGGTCACACTCGCGTCCTCGCCGTTCCCCGCTCCGTCTCATTTTCCGGTTAGTTCCCGCTCTCAATTTAATTCCTCAATTTTCAAATTAAAAAAAAAACGGTTACGCGGAGAGAGAGAGAAACTAACGCCGCGCGTGTTGTGCACGTGTAACAGAATTATCATCCAAGATGGCGGAGATGTGCGGTTTCACCGTCACTATCCGGTGTCAGCTCCCGACGGAAGATCTCGACGCGCTCGTCTCCGTAACCTCCGACGAAGATCTAACGAATCTAATCGAAGAGTACGACCTCGTCGGCTCCTCCTCGTCGTCGCCGATGAAGATCAGAGTCTTCTTAAATCCGCCGAAATCCGCGAAATCGGCGGTTAGGCCTCCGTCGTTGGCGTTACCGTCTTCGAATACGTCATCGTCTTCCTCTACTTCGTCGAGTCCTAGATCTCCGTCGATTTCGAAGCCGCCGCTACCTCCGTCGCCGCCGAGGTTAACGGCGGTGAAGAGTCAGTGTTATGGTTGTTACGTTCATCGTAATTCGAGGAATGTGTATCTCGTTCACAATGGGAATCACTGGCAATAACCCTAAGCCGCACGATCAGATTTAAAAATTAAATAGTGAAGTATCGAATATATATATATATATATATAAAAAAAAAGTTTTTGTTTAAAAAAAATGTAAAAGAGAGATGTCTCTCTATGACGGTTAATGACTCGTCGCCATTAATGAAATCCTCCTAAAGCTTTTCTTTTTGTGGTTGACTGGTTGTTTGGGTGAGTTCTTTTAATTCGTTTTTCTGTTTTTTTTTCGTTACCGTCATCACTCTGTTTACTTGCCCTTGCATTCTCCCGTCAATGTTAGTGGAATTATCGAGTCTCGTAACCGTTCCGTTCACGTGTTATCCCTGCCTTATCTGTAATCTTGCACCGTCACCGTTTAGCGGACGTCATAACATCTGTCGTCCGTTCCGCTAATTTCTTGCTTCAAGTTTTGTTTTTTATTCTAAAAATGGTTTTGATGAATTTTTTTTTTTTGAACTAAAAAAGTTTTGATGAACATTCGCTTTTTTTGAGCTTTTTTTTTTAACATTCGATTTTTAACACCTGCTTTGTGTTGTGTGTGGTATAATCGTTTCATTTTCTTTTTTTTTTTCATGTTTGTTTGGTATATTCATTTTTGTGTTAAACTAACACCATTAATCTCCCTGTTGTCATATGCAAGTGTTGTGTGTGTGGTATAAACGTTTCATTTCATTTTTTCTCATGTTTGTTTGGTATTATTTCATTTTGTGTTGAACTAACACCCTTAATCTCCCTATTCCTATATGCAGGTAATTTTATACATTCTTTTAACCTAAAGGTGTAATCAGTTTTCTTGGTTAATGGTATGTGCTCAATATTTCAGTATTCATTGTTTACGATATAATAAGGGGATCCCATATAATAAGATACAAGGTTATATATATATATACAATATAAATAATATGTATTCTGACTGTTTTCTTGGTAGACGAAATTAGGGGATAAACTTGAAGAAATTGAGCTGAAAGACAAAACTAAAAAAAGAAAATATTAACAATGATGGGGATAAAAAAAGAAGAGGTGATGATAAAATTCGATTTAAAATAAGAAAGGGTCCCCCAAATACAGCTGGTGTGGAGAAGTACATAAGTGTTCTTTAAGGAACGGAAAATGATAATAGTTGAGTGGGGGATGATCAGACACCAAGTACGATTTATATATCCAAAAACAAGATTGAGATCTGGACTTTTGGATGGAGTGTAATGATGGCATAACAGGGACGTGAATTTTTGTTGTTGAACTTTTAGATATTTCAAGCGGAAGCACAATGATATTTAAACTAGGGATTAGGAACTGAAATTAGGATATACTCTGTTTCATAGAAATGTCACACTATATTTTTCAATACAAAATTTTATACTAATTCTCTTTTAAATCTTTTTAAATAACTAATTGATGTTTAGTTAAATCATTTACACTTAAATAATAGTATATTACATTTTTTTTCATTTGCTAATTTATGTAAAATGTGTCTAACACACACTTTTTGTGAAATAGAGTATAACACAAAATTAGGCATCAGGCTTGGAAGTATTGGCAACTAAAGAACTGGAGTTGTGCGTGCATTGTATGTCAATAACTCTTCACCCATGACTTCTCCGCCATCGACGTTACTCTCCAGCACTATCATAGGGCTTCAATTTGTACTTCTGCAAGCTTTTCTTCTTCAGATTCACCAGCTTCTTCAGTCTAGATAAACCACTTAAGCCTCAACAACTCAAATAAAATATTTGTTAGAACATTTTCAAACAAGAAATCCTTAAGTCTACTTAATTACCCCGTTTCAAAGAGTTAAAGATTAAACATCAACCATAATTTTTATACTGGAAACTTTACTCGACGTAACCCATTAAAGCATGACCGTTATTAAAATCTTGATGACCATAAAAAATTCAGTATTTAAAGCAATTATAGAGTCAACACCATCTTCGACCATTACCGTTCAAATACATTGTCAATTTTTGTGGTAGAAACCTAAAAACAAAAGCAGAAAATCTCTTAAAGAAGCATAAGCTTTTGCTAGGTGGACCCTAAACTAAGCGGTTAAACTTACAAATAACAGAACACTAGACCGTAGATTAACCGGTGTCACCTCACCACTCAATTACATAAACCAAAATTCAATAGGATCAAACACAAGGGTGGACCGGATCAATCATGAGTTGTTTATTCTAAAAAGATGGCTACTTGACTTTATTATCATGGAATCATATTAAGTTCTTTGGTCAACTTCTACACGTTTCAAACTAAATTCTGATCAAAGACATGGCAACATCAAAACTCAAACATGACTGACTTGTTCAACATTTTGATTATATTGAACAAATTCTCTTTACTTAAACCTCTCTAATACTCGATTAGTTCGGACAAATATCACAAAACCATGGAGCACGATCTTGACAAGTTCCCGTTACTCTCTTACGTCCTACACCAATATGATTCTAACCACCACGAGCCGCCTTCTATGGCGGTCCAACAAACTCTCGCCCCTTCTTTTCCACTTCTCTCCGACCCACAAATCATGTCTTCGTTGACTCAGTCCATCCCCACCACCATCACGCAGACTCTTTCCGTCTTGGCCTCTCTCGGACCACGACCAGACCCGTCAGCTGTTTCCTCTGCTCGCTCCAAGATCGCTGAGATCCTTCAAAAGGACTCTCTCTCGCCTGAGGAAGCGGCTAAGGAGGCCGAGATGTACGCCGGGGCTGTGAGGTTGGAGGAGGTGCATGATAGCTACGAGAAGCAGCTGCGTGACTTGGAGGAGAAGCTTTCAAGGGTTTATGACACGGAGGTGGAGTCTCTGTTGAGACGCCAAAAAGAAATGAACGAGGAGGTTGTTAAGGTGCTCAAGGTGGCGGAATCCGGCAAAGTCCTTGAGAAGATTGATCTCTCCGGTCAAGAACTTAAGTTTCTCCCTGAAGCTTTTTGGAAAATTGTTGGCTTGGTTTCCTTGAATATCTCTGGCAACGACTTGACGGTAAATACTAAAATTATTTGACATTAATGCTTATCAATATGATTTACGTACTCCCTCTCTTTCAAATAAATTGTGGTTCTACAGTTTTGAACATAAATTAAATTAAGAAATTAATTAGATATTCAAATTTTCTCTTGTTGACCATAATAATTAGTACTCCATCATTTTCAATTTAGTTGTTGTAAACTAAAAATTTTGTTTTAGAATAAATATCGTTCTATAATTTCAATGCAAAATTTACTGACTTTATTTACTATTATACTTTATTATTGGTTGAAATATAGTTAGGTTAGGTGTATAGGTAATTGTGTTTTTTTATTAAAAAATATGCAAAATTAAATGTAATCCATGTGTAAAATTCTAAAACGAAAAATAAATTAAAACAGCCGGAGTAACATATATGGTTATCTTACTTTAGTTAGAGACAAAAGAGATAAAATAATAGAAACAATTGTATTGAAATCATAAAATACACTTATTTTGTAACAAATTTTTTATGTTACGCCACTTAATTTGGGAGTAATGTTTTGCTAAGATCAAGAACTTGTTTAGTACTTGTAGGGCAGTTCAATGTTCCATTTGTTGTATTATGAAACTGTTTTTAAAACCTGTTTACAGTTTATACCTGATGCAATCTCGAAACTGAAGAAGCTAGAAGAGCTTGATGTATCTTCAAACTCTCTTGAATCACTTCCTGACTCTATAGGAATGTTGCTTAACCTTAAGATTCTTAATGTGTCTGCCAACAATTTAACTTCACTCCCTGAAAGCATAGCACACTGCAGGTTTGGTTCTTGTCTTGTCTTTTCTTGTTTATGTCTGAATATTGTTTCTACTTTTAACCTGACGTTTTTTTCTGGGAATCTATATTCAGGTCACTGGTTGAGTTAGATGCAAGTTACAATAACTTGACTTCATTACCTACAAACCTCGGATACGGATTACAGAATCTGGAGAGGTTATTGGTCCAGCTAAACAAACTCCGTTACTTTCCAGGTTCCATAAGTGAAATGTACTCCCTTAAGTATCTTGACGCACACATGAACGAGATCCATGGGCTTCCAAGCTCCATAGGGAAACTAACGAAACTCGAGGTTCTAAACCTAAGCAGCAACTTCAACAACTTGATGCGTGTCCCAGACGCAATCACTGATCTAACTAACCTGAGGGAGCTTGATCTAAGCAACAACCAAATCCAAGCGATACCCGACTCGTTTTATATGCTGAAGAAGCTAGAGAAACTGAACTTAGACCATAACCCACTCGAGATCCCGTCTCAAGAAGTGGCTAAACAAGGAGCTGAAGTGGTTAGAAAGTTTATGAAGAAGAGATGGGATATGATTATGGCAGAGGGGCAAAAGAGGATTGGTGTTGAGGCTGAGCGACATGGAGATGGAGCATGGTGGGTCATATGGGGAACCTCTATGGTTACTAATCTTGTTTCCGGGGTTTCTCAGACCGTTGGACCTGGTGATGGAGATAAGAAATCGCATTTTTATAACCAAATCTAAGTTCTACTTGAGTTTTGTTTTGAATAATTTTGGGTGAATTCTTGTGAAGAAATCATCATTAGCTTGTTTATGGTCTTGGCAACTTTGTAACATAAGAAACTGTTATTTTTAAATTATAATTTTTCTCACTATTTCCTCAATCATATCTTTGTTACATATTTTCTTTATTTTTGGTTAAACAGTGATGTGACAAATGAATTTTAATGGTTAAATAGATTATTTCGAAATATGTAAATGTTATGAGAAGCATGGTAGATACGAGAAGCAGTTGAGTAACATGGAGGAAAAACTTGCAAGCGTTTATGCCACCTAGGTGGAATATTTGTTGGGAAGCCGCGAAGAAATGAATGAGGGTTGATCTCTCTAGCCAAGAAGATATCTGACAACGACATGACATACTAAAATTTTGAAATCAAGAACTTGATTAGTACATCCAGTTGTTGAGATAAGCTTGAAATATCTTGAGATATAAGCTACCTAATCCTAAGTGTGTTATGATTATCTATAAGGTGTTATAGTTATTTATTACGATTAGGAAATATCTAAGTGTGTTATTCCTAATGAGTTTAAGATAGATAAAGTATTATATAAGGAGATATCAATGTGTGGTATAATTTAATGTGGTGAGAGCTTTAGTTTGGAGTTTATTTTCTAAAGCAATAAGAGTTGAGTTCTTATTAACTATTGTGTGTGTGATCTCGACGATAAGTGCTTGTGCGATTAAGGGTTTGATACAAATAAGTGGTGGTATCAGAGCTTCAGAAAGATATGGGAGACTTAGTTCCAGCGGCTGGAAAGAAAGATGGCTTAAGAGGCTCTTCAATCCAATGTCCTATGCTTACCTCAACTAATTACACCGTTTGGGCCATCAGGATGAAGATAGCACTCAAGGCACATAAAGTCTGGAATGTCATCGAAGAGGAGCTAACATATATGGAGAAACACGATCTAGCTACGGCCTTATTGATCAGTCTATTCTGGAAACCCTAATACTCCAGTATGTGAACTTGATACGGCTAGAAAGATGTGGAAAGCAATTAAAGCTCGCTATGTGGGAGCAGAGAGAAGAGAGTAAAGGAAGCTCGACTTCAAACTTTAATGTCTGAGTTTGATCGTATGAGGATGAAAGACACCGAAAGTGTTGATGATTTTGTAGGGAAACTCTCGGAACTTTCATCAAAGTCGGCTGCCTTAGGGGTAAGTATTGAAGAACCAAAACTAGTTAAGAAAATACCTAAGTGTCTTCCTCGCATGAAATATATACAAATTGTTGCGTCTTTGGAGCAAGTATTGGATCTTAACACTACGAGCTTCGAAGACATAGTAGGTGGTTAAAGACATATGAAGAGTGTATCTTTGAAGAAGAAGAAGCCGGTGACGAACAGAGGAAACTGATTTTTTCTAATATGGAAGGTCAATCTAGCCAATATGATCGAAACCATAGTGGACTATCAAGAAACTACAACAATGGACCAACAAACAACTACAACAATGGATCAGCGAGCAACTACACCTACAATAATCATAGTCGTGACTTTAATAGAGAATACATAGGCAGAGGTCGAGGTGAACATTCTTATTCTAGAGGAAGAGGACGCGGAATATCTTTTGACTACTCAAGGATCACATGTTTTCGTTGTGATAATCAGGGACACTTTGCTCAAGACTGTCCAGACCGTCTATTGAAACTCCAAGAAGAAGTAGAGGCTGACAACACGGAGACACAAGATGCAGAGGAACTTATGATGACAAGATAGTTTTTCTGAATGAGAAACATGTAATGCCTGAGAAGTATGAGACAAACACAGCAGGAGACAACATATGGTATCTTGACAATGGAGCAAGTAATCACATGACGGGTGATAAACATTATTTTTCTTCTCTTAACACTTCAATAACATGAAACGTATGATTCGGGGACGATTCTCGTATTGATATCAAAGGCAAAAGGAAGAATCTTATTCAATGATATGAATAACGAATCAAGAAAGCTAACAGATGTATACTACATTCCTGACTTGAAGATCAATATAATCAGCTTGGGTCAAGCAACTGAAGCAGGATTTAACATATGGATGAAGGGAGATCAATTAACAATGCATGATCAGAACTGAAAACTACTTGTCACTGCAAATCGGTCAAGAAACCGTCTCTATAAGGTACGAATGGGAGTTAAAGACAACACACGAATTCGCTTGACAAAAGTGAGTGACTCAACTAAATGGTACGCAACATTAGGGCATGTGAATGTCAAGACAATGAGGTCAATGATACACCGAGAACTAGTACTTGGAGTCCCAAACATGAGCATTGAGAAGGAGGTTTTTCGATCATGTATGATGGGAAAACAAACCAGGAAGCTTTCCACAAGAATCACAGTACAGAGCCGAGAAGAAACTACAATTCATACATGGAGATCTTTGTGGACCAATAACTCCAAGTACACCAACCAGTAAGCAATATATATTTGTACTCATTGATGATTATTCAAGATATATGTGGGGTGTTCTCATGAAGGACAAGAACGAAGCCTTTACCAAGTTTAAAAAGCTGAGGAATCTGATAGAGCAAGAAACATGAGAAAAGATGCAAGTCTTTAGAACAGACAGAAGTGGAGAGTTTGTTTCTAATGAGTTTAATAGTTATCGCGAAAGCTCAGGAGTAAAAAAGCACCTCACAGCTCCATACACCCCACAGCATAACGGTGTGGTAGAGAGAAGAAATAGGACATTGCTAAAAATAAGGAATTCAACTTATCTTCTCAATAGGATTGCGACGAGAGCATCAACTCCATATAGTTTCTGTGTATGTGGATGACTTGTTCGTTATAGGAACAAGCAAAGGAGTTATTCAAGAGTTCAAACAGATGATGGAATTGACATGAGTGACCTCGGTAAGATGACTTACTATTTGGGAACTGAAGTCAACCAACATGGCCATGGCATAACGTTAAACCAAAAATGTTACGCAAAGAATATATTGGAAGAGGCTGGGATGAGACGATGCAACTTGGTTCATACACCGATGGAAGCAGGTTTAAAACTACGGAAAGCCGAGGAAGAAAGAGAGATTGATGCCACTGAGTATAGAAGCAACGTTGGCTGCTTACGATACTTGCTTCACACGAGACCAGACTTGGAATATAGTGTCGGAGTGTTAAGCTGTTTTATGCATACACCAAAAGAATCTCATGGTGCCACGATGAAGCAATGCCTAAGGTACTTACAAGGATCAATGGGACAAGGTTTAATTCTTGGCTGTGAAGATGCTAGATTTCCAAGACAAATCGGCTACAGCGATAGCAGTTTCAACACCGATTTGGATGATGGCAAGAGTACAACATGCCATATCTTTTACCTTGGAGAGAGTTCGATTACCTGGTGCTCACAGAAACAAGATGTGGTTGCACTACCATCATGTGAAGCGGAATTTATGTCTGGAACTGAAGCTTTGAGACAAGCACTATGGCTACAAGAGTTGATAAGTGAAGTGACCGGGCAAGAATGTGTAAAAGACACAATAAGAATTGATAACCAGTCCGCTATTGCCCTTAAAAGGAACCTTGTTTCCATGGTAGAAGCAAGCACATACACTCTATGTATCACTTCATAAGTGAGTGTGTGGAGAGAGGTTTAATCGAGTTTGAACATGTTTCGGGAGACAAGCAAAAAGCGGATATCTTGACCAAGGCTTTAGGAAGAATTATATTCAAGGAAATAAGAGACTTAATTGGAGTACAAGATTTGGAGGAAACGAGTTTCAAGCTTAAGAGGGAGAATGTTGAGATAAGCTTGAAATAGCTTGAGATACAAGCTACCTAATCCTAAGTGTGTTATGACTATCTATAAGGTGTTATAGTTATATATTAGGATTAGGAAATATCTAAGTGTGTTATGACTATCTATAAGGTGTTATAGTTATCTATTAGGATTTAGGAAATATCTAAGTGTGTTATTCCTAATGAGTTTAGGATAGATAAAGTATTATATAAGTAAATACCAATGTGGTATAACTTAATGTGGTGAAAGCTTTAGTTTTGAGTTTATTTTCTAAAGCAATAAAAGAGTTGAGTTCTTATTAACTATTGTGTGTGTGATCTCGACGATAAGTGCTTGTGCGATTAAGGTTTGATACAATAGCAGTGTTGTTTAATGATGAAAACGTAAGAAGCTAGAAGAGCTTGATGTATCTTCAAACTCTCTTGAATCTCTTCCTGATTCTATAGGAATGTTGCTTAACCTTTGGATCCTTAATGTAACATCCAACAATCTAATTTCACTCAAAGCATCTCTCATTGGAAATTTAGTTCTTGTGAAATGTCTGAATATTGTTTCTACTTTTGTCCTAACTTTTTTTGGGAATCTATATTTAGGTTACTGGTTGAGTTAGATGAAAGTTACAAGAACTTGACTTCATTACATACAAACATCGGATAAGGATTACAAAACTTGGAGAGGTTCGACAAGTGAAATTCGCTAGCTAAAGTATCTTGACTCACACATGAACGAGATCAGTGAGATTCCAGATTCCATCGGGAGGTTAACGAATCTCGTGGTTCTAAACCTAAGCAGCAACATCAAGTCTACAACTTGATGGGTGTCCCATACACAATCACCGATCTAAATAACATGAGGGAGCTTGATCTAAGCAACAACGCTATTCCAGACTCGTTTTACATGCTGAAGAAGCTAGAGAAACTAAATTTGGATCAGAACCCGCTTGAGATCCCATTTCAAGAAATGGCTAACCAATGAGCTGAAGTTGTTAGAGAGTTCATAAGGATGGGCTAAGATTGTGGCAGAGGAGCAACAAAAGATCGAGTTGATGCAGAGCTACATGGAGATAGAATCGGTTGGGTCTCATGGGGAACCACCACGGTTACTAATCTTGTTGGATTCGGAAGAGGGTCAGCTGCTTATGGTAGAGATAAGAATCCTAGAGAATTGCATTTCTATCACAATATCTAAGTTCTGATTGAGTTTTAAAAAAAAAAAAAATTCTGGGTGATTTCTTGTAAACACATCGGTACCTTGTTTACCGTCTTGTGCAATTATGTAAATAAGAAACTGTTTTAAAAATATATTTTTTTCTTTTACAATTTTTCTCAAAATATGCTTAAAATGTTATACAT